GATTTTGCTAGGCATGTCGATGCAATAACTCGTTTTCTGTTGGTTTATTAATGTGCGCATCTGTGATGCGTGACTGGAATGCATGGTTAGTGCAGATTTAAGCGCATCTACACAGAGCAAACATCTTGCAGTAAAGAAAGAAGGAAATATATCACAAAAGCAGACGCTTTCATGACTCAGAAAATTATAAAAATGTGTTCTCATCTCGTGCAGCAGAAGTAGAAGTGGTTCAGTCAAAATGCTGTATTTATAGCTGTAAGTTTCCCGACATGTTGCAAGCTTTAACATCACAACTGACAAATGTATGGAATACTCGGAATCAGATACGCAAACTATTATATTTCGACGTCACTACAGGGAAATAACGTGATCTATTAATGAAGTCATGTAAACGCAGCTGCTTGTGTTGTCAGGTTACTGATGTGCATGTAAATGGGGAAAACTGGTTATTTTAATAAGCTGATATTTGTGAGTTATCAGCTTACTTGTGTGCATGGAAACGTGCTCATTGTGACTTTCCACTTACAGGCACTCAGAGAAGGACCCATCTGAGGGCATTGAGGATAGCAGCTCCAAGAGACATAAAAAGAAGAAAAAGAAAAAGAAGAGGAGGGAGGATGAGGAGAGGCCTCACACTAGGAGAGACGTCACTCCGAGGCGGGAAGAGCATGATTCTAGAGCTAGGAATGGTGCAGAGAAAGGAAGTCTGCACCACAGCTCGGAGTCTCTTCACAATGTCCACCGAGACCATGTGGAGGACCAGCAACAGCTCAATGGACACAAAGGTGCTTTAATATTTAACAGCTTAGACTTGATGTCTTTTTGGACAGAGCAAAGAAGCAGCAAAGCATGCTTCAGGCAATAGCGTACTTTTGTTTTGCACATTTTTACTCATCTAGGTCACTTTTCACACTTAAATCAAATGGAGAAAAAGAAACCAAAGCATGAATTTAACATTAAAATTTGCATTGTGGTGATATTTTCATGGCAGCTAAATGCATTTCCCCCCAAAGTATTTTCCAGTGAGCACTGCCGAATGCAGTTTAAATATTACGCATACATATGAAGTAATATACAAACATTTATAGTTTGCATTATTTTGCAGTAATGATTTAATTTGGATGTTGAGGTGCTTTTTGATTGAAATATTGAAATCAATATTACGAATAACCCATGCTGTCTTTTTCCATCATGTGCCAAAAAAAAAGTGTTCGTGTTTCATATAGAAGATATAAACAGGACCTTTTGAGTGATATGGTTTATCTTTGTGACTTTTCACATTGCATGGATCAAAGCTTAGTAGTCTCTTTCAGATAGCAGTGTTAACACGGAAATGTTCAAGTAAGCTGATGGTATCTTCTGATACATAGAGCATTAAATTGGTTGAACTGGTTTGCCGGTAATTGACTACATATTTACGATCTGGATTTTACGCAAACCCTCCCCAGGCTCACATACATCCACAATCACACTTTTGATCTTGGCACAGTATTACACATTCACATGTAAATGTCATTTGGGAGAAAAAAATTAACTAATGCTTTTTGTGTAATGTTTTTTTTTTCTTTCTTCAGCTAATGGCCTGAGCTGTTACAGTGGAAGTGAGCTTGAGCATACTGGGATGGATAAAGACAAATACAAATATTTGGATTATTCTACCACTGTCAACGGCACAAAGACACTCTCAAATGGAAATGGAGATGTATGTCACAGGACCCTTTCAGATGTTGAAGTGAGTATAATGTAATAAAAATATATACAATTATGAAATTCAAAAACTAATTTGTTTTTCTTGCAATATACATACATTAATTTTGTATGTATTTTTTATGGTTGTTGTAGTTGCACAACTCTGACTGTTCTCTGGTTTTCACAGAAAGCCACACATCCTCACTAAAGGTAAGAAATGTTTATATTTTATTAATTTTTTTTTAAACCAAATAAGCTCAGCTCTAATCGTCCCCTCTCTCTTTATTTGAAGACTCTGACAACCACCCATGCAAGCATGTGAAAAACAAAATCTACAGCTACAGTTCCTGACATGGTGCTTAACATTTAGAACATACTGTATTTTTACCACGAGATGAATTTTAAAGTTTCATTTTTTATTTTTTTTTCGTTTTTCTTTATTTTTAAGGCTATGGATTTTTTTTAGTACACTGTACATAAATGAACTTTGATCATGGAAAAAAAAATTCTATATAAAGTTAATATATGCGATTTAAAACAAAAGCCTGGAGCTTAACATCAGAATTGCTGCTCAGACATACAGACTCAGGATTTTCTCACTTGTGAAGATGAGACAAGCGCTCCCTTTAAGGAATCGAACCTGGGAACGACAAGAACATTTATATGCTGCATCGGCGGAGAAAGACTGCTTGTCTCTTGGCTTCAAGCTATGATGTCACCATTTTCACGTATCGGTTGAGAGAACTGTCTCAAAGGAGCAGCCTTTGCTAATGCTACATGTGCACTTACATCACAGTTAACCTGGACACACTTGAGGACATAAGATGTTTGCTTTGCTGTCTCTTGTACCTCTCTTTTTTTTAGCGTCTCACTGTATTACTCTCTATCTGAAATTCCTCAAACCTATCTAGAATGCAAGTTCATTGCATCTTTTTTGTTTTTAATTCTCACTGTTTCGTTTTCTTGAATCCGCTTTGATTTTAGTCAAGATAATACTGTGAATTTAAGTTGAACTGTACTATCAGTTGTTTGTTTTTGGTCCTGTATCAGGAGTTCAATAGAGACACTTTCTGTAAAGCCACTCGTAATGTAGACCATGTTCTCTGAACATGTCAACTTTTTTTTCCTTCTTCAGCAAAACGAAACAGACATGAAAAATGGTTATATTCAACTTCATTTTACTGTAGCATGTCAAAGTAAATGTATACAGTGTACAATATGTTGAGTGAGAGGAAACGGCCTTAATGTCTGAAATTGTAATATTTTCTCTCACTATGTTTACAACATTCTGTTGGAGTGAATGAACATGTATGTGAAGTGTTTGGTTTTGTAAAGGGTGGGGTTTCCTTTTTACATATAAAGAAAGATTTGTGAGATTTTTGTTTTGTGAAAAATATCTTAGTCAAAGTGCTGCACTTTTTTGTTTCAGCTACATTTCAGTAATCGTAACGCATAGCTTAAGACCGACTTTAATTTCGCTTTTGCCCTATACACCAGCAAACCAGGCTATAATGGTCATTTATTTACATCTCAATACCAAAAAAAAAAAAAAAACATACTGAAAGCGGCTTAATATAGAACTGCACGAAATGATTAATTACTAGATTAGGGTGCACAGTACTTGCAAAGCAATAACATGCAAAATGTTTAATCTTTTCACTACTAAGTACATGAGAAAGAAAGAAAAAAAACATTCATTTCCTCAGATAATATTGGGATCCGTTATTAATATGAGCAAAATGGTTCGTTTAGTGATTTAAAGATGCTGTATGAAGAAATGATGGCCACATGTTCTTCAAGAAGACTCAGAACTCTTATATTGACGAAAAATGTTGAACGAAGTATTTTTAAAATAATTTATTTTTAATCATTTAGCTGTGATTGAGGGTGCGAGTGTTTTGAATAAAAGAAATGATAAACAGTAAAGACATTTTCCAGACCGTTGGCTCATATTTACTAACTGTACAAATATTAGTGGAGAAAAAAAAACTATGGCGTAATTACAGCATCTACCATTTACCTTGATCCCTGGTGTACACCGCCTCATCTTTCCAAGTACAGTATATCGCACTGTAGCCTGGAGACCTCAAAGTGGGAGGAGCCACAATTATGCGGTGACCTTCAATTTAGTGGAGTAAAATTGAGGGTGGAGGGCTGCAGCAATACCTGTTACAGTGAGATGCAGGACAGTACAATACAGGACAAGCAGCTCAAGAATAATTGGAGATATAGCTGCTATGTGTCTTTCTCTTAATGAAGTCAAATCTTTGCAGAATCTCAACATAATGTTTTATTAGGTCAGTTGCTGAGGTCATGAGTTCAGGGCCAAAGGCTTCATTGACAGTAATGACAAACCTGTTTCATCTGAGATATCTGAATTATTATTTACGGACACACACAGGGTTCTGAAATACAGTCTTCAGAGCATGCTGCATAATGTTAAGCAGAATACAAGTGACAATATTTTACTTATTATATTAACTAGTATAATAATAATATCCAAAAACTTTCCATAAAATTGTACAGGTATTCGATTTTGAGCTGGGTTTGGTTGCATATCTCTATGGTTTTGTCTATGTCTTAACAGGTAAACTTAGAAAAGGGAGCCTCATTGTTTGTTGAATTTATGTCATAAATCGTATTCTCTATATTTCACTATGATTAGTATTGCTGTCCTACATGGAACTGGACAGTGATGACAGTGGACCGTGGTTAATTTAATTTAAATTATATTGATTAATCTTTTCGCAGTGTATCTATGAGTATTTCCTTTACACTTTGCAATAAACTATGAGAAATAATGAGTTTCATGTTTACAGAGCTATACAGCCTTCACTTAAAATATCTCAGCTGAATAGCTGTATACAAAAATTGCATATACATCAATTTTAGATCCATGGAGTTTCCAAAATAGTTCAAATAATAACAATAATTATGGCTTTTGTGATATTATTTGTGTGTGTGTGTGTGTGTGTTATTTACAAACATGGTAAAAAACAAAACAATAGGTTCAGTTAACATTGGCATTATTACATAAATACAACAAAATACTTATATTAACTTATATTACGGGTGTAGAGTATAGAGTTAGCATTATTCTTAAAAAGGCATCAAATAATATTAGCATATTTTCCTAATTAATGCTGTACAGTTGCTTTGACACAATCTGTATTGTTAAAAGCGCTATATAAATAAAGGTGACTTGACTTGACTATTAAGAGAACGTCAGAAATGGATTTTTACAGTATTTTATATAATACTAGGTCTATTAAGGACCTTAAGTAAGAAACATAATAAATATAATATGAATAATTTTCTCTTCCAATTAATGCAACCAGTCCGGCTGATTTGGATGATAATGATATGACACAAATGAAAATAAAATCATTTAAAACTACTGATGCAATTAAGACAATATTTGATATACCATAGCACTAAAAATGATTCAGCATGAATCCCTGCCATATCAATCTATTTTCTGTATCCATAGACTACTTCTGAATTGACATCACCAGCAGTCTGGTATAATTTACATACATTTCATCCACATCTAAACATTACCAGAGCTTAAATGTAGACTTTTGACTTGAGAACATTTCCATAACGATACCTGGAAATTTGCGATAGCAGTTCCTGTTGTAAGCAGCAGGAGGCGCTACTTACTCTATATTAGACCGTCACATGAAATTACGCAGATACTGTAGCACAGTCGAATCATTCATCCCTCTTAAAGCAAAGTTCTTTCTGACAAACACACATTCAGCATATAATTGCATTATCACCATCATTGTTTTCCCCATACAATCCATTTGGAGAGAAATATTTAGTACACATCCCTTACATTACCTCAGGACCTATACAGACCCCATCATTTTTTAAATCTTGTCCTTCTTTATCCTCAGAGAGCTCATGTCTCTGTCTGTGACCTCCAGCAACGTTCAGGATCCCATGTGAAGGTTTCCACTTGGAGAGTGATTATTAAACCTGAACTCGAAAGGTCTACGGCTCACTTTTTAGTGGCCACTCGCCGTTTCCTAGTAGCCAACATGTCGTAGAAAGGATCCCTGCTAATGCTTGCCCTGTAGGATAACAACAATAAAACAGAAACTGTACAATCACAGCATAAAAATATACATCCATATAAAACAATAACAGTATTTTCTGGAAGCAGTCGACCTGATTATAAAACGATACAGGGTTCTTTTATGTAGGGGTTGGGTGGCACAGAGTTTTTGGCAGTCCCACGGGACATGCTGAGGCAGCTTTTGATGTAAAACACCAGGCTAAACTGACCACAGAGCAGTTCCACAATTCCAGATGAGTCAGAGGACATGTGTTAACTAGACACTTACATTGTAAGTTAACTACTGTACACAAATGGCCTTCAGAGACCTACATAAGACCCGCACATACGTATTCCAATTCATTTCAATCAAGTCTGTTTTAGGCAGGAAAACAAAGCCAGAGTCATGGCCAACTATAAGAGACTAAGTGGTCTTTGGCTTCCTTTTCTCCAGTGATAAATGCTGATTTATCTTCAGGGAAGACCATTTAACCTTCAGAGGATGTGGGTCACTCAGAATTCATTATAGTCTTGTCAGCCCTACAGTGTGAGGTTTATATAGGCACCACACTACGATATTTTATCTTGTTTTCCAGTAAAAACATACATAAAACAATTACATTTAATCCAAATTGTGATACTAAGATTTTTTCAGAGTTTGAGGGAGAATTATTGATTTTAGCATCCACTCAAACAATAATATGTATTCAATTGTATTGTTTTAGGTAAAAACCTCACAAAATGTTGTTAGACTTGTGCTTAAAAAAACTAGAAATACTAGAAATAAATTCAAGATATATTATCTGAAAACAAATCTTAATATCCAATGCAATTTAAATTGGATTGGATATTTTTACAAGACAAAAATATTTTTTTGCAGTGCACAGCCAAGGTCTAAAACACTGGAAACACTCACTTCATCTTATCAGCACAATGGCGATGTTCTATGATAAAGAGAAGCCAATGTTCCTTTCTGAGCATCTGTGGGTGTGTGTGTATGACCTACAACCAGCACACATCCGTTATCTGAGAAGAGAATAATGAGGGCTGACACGGTGAAGCCTTACTTGATGGATTTGATCCACTCTTCTTTCTCCTCCGGCGTGGGTGCGGATATTCTGTAAACCACGTGATTCCCCTCCACCACCTTCCCATCAGCCTCCGTCTTGCATGCCTTAATTACCTGCCCCTTATGACTGGGGTTGTAGAGCTCAAAGCAATTCTGAAAGGTTGAAGCATGAAACGGTCCCTTTTACTTCTTCATTTTTTGATGACTAATTTAGGATGACTAAATATAGGATTCTTCTTAAAGACTGACTACAGATTATAATTTAACTGAGCACTTCAAGTAGAAACATACTGGTTTTCTTGGTTCCTCCACCTCTCTTATACTAAGATTCTCCAGTGGAATGATCCCCCGAGGCTCTTTGTCCTGTGAACATATGAGTAACAGACCATTAATCCACTATGTTTATTTGGTATTAAAGCAATTGGTCTTAGACTTAATCCGCAATATGTTTCCTTTAACGAGATATGGATGGTGGGGACATTAAAAAAGTGAGGGAACTAACTATGTGCACATTAAGCAACTACTGTCTTAATCTAAATCTGGCACACGACTAGGGAAAAAATGCATTATTTCCTTCCACTTTGCTGATGAGATGACACAGCAGGGAGGTTGTAACAGGGAGTGTTTTTTGGGTTTTAGTCCAAGTGCATTCACTTTAAGGTCATATATATGCTACTAGTGTACTCGTAAACACATTTTTAGCATGTGTACCCATTTAACGTGCTTACTGATGACACGCCCTGCACTACACATATTTTTGTCCAATCAAAAGCTCTAAAATGAGAATTTTCCTCCCTTAATACCAGCTGAAACTAACAAATAGCAAACTGTGGTTAAAAGTTCCGCCAAAACTTCAGAAATACATCAACAGAGGAAAGAAAGTAGTCGTCAAGTCATTTCACGGAGTGTTTCTTTATTGTAAATGTGAAGCTGGTGAGAAGTGCTTGTGTCTGCTTGCGTTCTTTGCTGTTCACTTACTTTTTTCCCCCTTCACTTCCTCTTCTATCTGACCTCCTTTAACCTATATCTTACTATCTGAATCATTAATACATTTTATAGATAAATCTTAAATCTATGTATTGCCCAAACAGGACATATTGAGCAGTCGTACTTACTGTTGTATATTCAAAGTAATACAGACAGTTATCTGTCAAAATGAACCACCTCCTCTTCCAGGTCTTTACTCTTCCCCCTGCAATTCAAATACAGATAATAACAAAAAATAAACTATTGGAAAAGTGCTTTAAAAAGTTGCAGAACTTTTATGCTGTAAATAAATCACTGCATGACATGGAATTAGTGTAGTTCCAAAATCCATTTGATGGATAAAATTTAAAAAAAAAAAACCTTTAATGGTCTGCCAATAACAGCATTATCTATGTAATCCTGATCAACACCGGAAAAATCTTTTAAAAGCTCTTTAATTACTTTGAATGATGTCACAGTAGCAAATCTGCTGTAAGAGCCATAATGTAAAATAGTTGTTGAGTGAGATGCTGGATAATACCACATTAAATCCAATCTATAATGGGGAAACTCATGGGTTTCAAACCATGAAAGAACGCTAGATAGAGGAGCAGATGGACAGGCATACAGATAGAAAGATATACAAACCTAGTTTTAGCAGCCATCCCTCTCTGTCCGGATTAAAGAAAGTGTGAGTTAGATCATTCCCATCGTCTTCAGGAATTTTGAAAGGCTCATTCTTAATGCTTTCATATAAATTCTATGAAGAAGAAAAAAACAATATGCAAATGCATATTCTATCATTACATAACTTAGTGATGAGTGTGCAGCTCTCTCCATCACAGTATGACACAGAGACTCACTCTGAGCAGCTCCTCAGGCAGATCTCCTCCCTCGTTGATGCCCCGATTCATGGATATGAACCTTTCCACCGTGGGCTTGTCTCTGACATTAGGGTTGTGCAAGCTGGTGTTGAGCATGATGACGGAGAACGAGAGAACATAGCATGTGTCTGTGGAGAGCAGAAACTTGGATCAGTCAGTCAGCTCTGTAGGTCCAGACTGGTAAATTAAATGGAGAATGCATATAAAGATAATGAATGAAAAGCATGCAACTCTATGTTTTCTCATTTTCATTTTTTATTAGTTGACTCAGGGCCGTTTCTAGCCATTTTGACGCCCTAGGCGAAATCCAAATTGGCGGCCACCCCAATAAATTTTATTACATTTGGATTTGGATACATGTTTAGATATTATCAATGACTACTTTTTGTCTTTATGTGTTTTTTTTTGTTTTGTTTAAATCAACATTTCAAACAAAAAAAAATCAATCAAAGTGTCCATTTTTTCATTATCATTTCAGTCAAACCTATAAAAAACTTTGTTACCCCAAACTACATAATAAAGCTTGATCAGTCACATAAAAGTAATCAGACTCCAGCTACTTATTCTTTTGTTACTCATTGACGCGTGAACTTCCCCTTTAAATGACGTGACGCTCTGCTCTCTATATGACGCTGCTTCCATTAAGTGCTGTTAGTAGTGAATTAATTAATTCAGCATTTCAACATTTCCATTTCAAAGCGGTTTAATATCGGATGTATTGATCTTTCTTGTGATTTAGCAAATTTTACTATACCAATATTTTTTTAATTGGCCGTTAAATCTTTATATGTGAATATTACACACACCACACTGATCCTTTAACAATGCATTGGCGCAAAAAAGCACACCTTTTGGACCAATTTTGCAGCGTGATTTCTCGACTGCCACAAATGCTGCCTTAACAAAATACTCATTTTGTGCACTTTTTTCAAAAAAGCACACCTTTTGGACCAATTTTGCAGCGTGATTTCTCGACTGCCACAAATACTGCCTTAACAAAATACTAATTTTGTGCACTTTTTTACTGTACCAATATTTTTAATTGGTCTTTGAACTTAGCTTTATTGCAAGGCTAAAAAAAAACAAACAAAAAAAACCTTACTTTGCCAAAGCCCTAACAGAACCCATAGATCTAATGGTGTTGTTGAGCACTCCAAATGCAAACTTTGCATGCAACAATCCGGCAGCAATTGACATCGCTCTGATCCAATGGCATATAGGCATTGTCAGATTGACAGTACTCTAGCCCACTGATGTTGGGGGATCCAGTGGGGGTGGCAATATATTTCAGGGTGGCCGTGCCACTCTTTATCACAACCCTGCTAAAATGTAGTGCCAGTACGTGCGCTCATTGGTGCCCCCCTCCTGCTGGTGGCGCCCTAGGTGACCGCCTAATTTGCCTATGCCTAGAAACTGTACTGAGTTGACTTCTAAATGATAAATTCTGAAAGCATAGAGTTTGATGCAAGATACAGGCCAGTTTTTAATATTTCTTCATCTTTATGTATGACTCCATGCTGAAAGAAAGATATTAATGCTTTGGACATTTGCAGACTCTGTTTATGAATAAATAATCATTCCCTTGCGCTTTGTTTTTAGCACAGTGTCTTTAGTCCATTTCTGGGGTGCTGCATTTTATACAGTCTCTAGTAACAGTGTGTGCCAACATCTCTGCTATTTATCCCTGCAGTTATCAAGCTCAGCCCTCAGAGGACCAGATTTCCAACAGATACTCAAAGTGTGCTGTAATTCAAGAGACTCGCATGCAAAAATGAAAATTCTGTCATTAATTACTCACCCTCATGTCATCCCAAACCCATAACGCAACTACCACGTTCAAGGCCCAGAAAGGAAATAAGGACATCGTTAAAATAGTCCATGTGACTCCTGCGTCAACAGCACCATACGCATACATCGTGGTACTCTCGTGAAAGCGCATATTCTCATAGCTTCATAAAATTAAGGTTGAACCACTGATGTCACATGGACTGTTTTAACAATGTCCTTACTACCATTCTGGGCCTTGAACGTGGTAGTTGCGTTGATGTCTATGCAGGGTCAGAAAGCTCTCGGATTTCATCAAAAATATCTTAATTTGTGTTCCGAAGATGAACAAAAGTCTCTTTGGGTTTAGGGTGAGTAATGACAGAATTAGAATTTTTTGGGTGAACTAACCCTTTAATGCTGAGTAAGAGCTTTAGGCCAATGAGGGGTTTAGGCCACAAAGAGGGGTTCACGTAGAAGTCAAGTTTACTACTGAAAAAAGTCGTACCTGTGGACTGAAAGACACCTGGGTTACACTGGCAATATCGAGCAGCAAAGGCCTCCATCATTCGATCAATTTTCTGTGCTTCACCAGGAAGTCTGAAACTCCACAAAAACTGCCTGCCAGGGAAAAATGGGAATGACACTTAAAATTATAATAGTTATTTGATGGACCGTTGCATGAGGGAATAAATGAGTATGTATGATTTTATTTTAATAGCGTAGGTAACAGAGTGATACAAAGACAATGAATGGCTTACATCACTCACATTATGTTATAATTATTGAACATTTTGTCCCATTTTATTATTTTTTTGTTATACATCAAACAAAACAAACATGACTGAAAATCATTAAAATATTGCTGTCTTTTAAAGACTGTCTTTTAATTCAAACAATGCAATTTGTTGTAGTTTTTCTGAATACCAAGAAAGTAGTTCTCTCACAGAACTGGCAGGTTTCTTGCAAAGTTTGTTCTTCCGGTAATGTTATTAGAAGATTAATTTAAGGTTACCTGATCTTTAATGACATTTTACCACTTAGTACATTTTGCAAAATGATCAAATGGAACATTCCCTTATCGGTTTCTCTAACATTTGTATAACCAAGAAAAACCATTTTAAAACATTTCAAAAACTGGAGGTTCTGAACATTCAGAGAATATTCAGAAATAACATTTTCATAACCTATACTATAGGAATATTAGCAAAACATTATTTTGTTGTTAGCTGGGCAAAAATGATTGAAATTGTTAGTGATTGTTGAAAATGGAAAGTTCTGCAGCTAAGTTCTAGATATACAAATACTATAGCTTGATGGCATTTCTTATGATTCCATTTCCATATTTAGAACATATAATGGTGTTTATAGTTATAATGGATGGTGAAGAAAACATCTATCTCACCTCAATGCTTGCACCAGGTTGAGATCAGCAAACTCATGAAGCTCCACAAATGCATGCAAAACCTTAATGTTGAAGTCATCTCTAAAAATAGTGAGAAAATAAGCAATAATCAGCAATAGCTATTTCCTCATTCAATCTAAGCTCCATCTCAAGAGATACATGCACTCATTTTAGCAGAGGTCAATCAAAAAACAGTACAGACTTTATACATTCAGGAGTCAGTCACGGTTCATTTGTTCAGTTTTCTACAACAGGGTTTCAGACCAATTTAAAAAAGCACACAAGAACAATCATGTAAGACCACGTTTGGTGTATGGATATAAAAACCATCATTTGAATACATACAAGGGTCTTAAAAAAAAACACAGATATGAACATAAAGTGTAATGAAGCGATGTACCACGGCATGCCTGATTACACAAGCTAAGATAGAACCACATCTCCAAACTCTTTTAATCAGAGACACAATAATTACAGCTTCTGGCTCTTCCTCGTAAATACAATTAACAGTAATTGCTATGTATAGTCTATAACCACACTTTCTAGTACCAAATGAAAGGGATGAATGTGCAATTGATCTTCAGGCTAGAGCATAGCCAAGACAACGGTTATCAACTTGGACAGGATGCCTACGTAGACAAGGCTATTTTTGTATCGAACAACTATTACACTGTAGATCAAGCTTAGTCTCTTTTTTTGTAAACATGCCTCATGGGACAATGCTGAGCAACTAACTTTTTGCAGACCTTTACGACTACAATTACACCTTCATTTGTCTTGATATTGACAGGTGTAGCACTGGGTGGCAATAATAATTTTTTATATCTAATCCTGTGTTAATAGATGTCGGTAAGGGTGAGATAAGGCGCCTTCATGCTGTCTGGGTGATATGCTAAATATTGTTTTGGAAATTTGTGGTCATTTTCAGCTGTTACAAATAGGGAAGTCATTTCCTGAGAGAGCAGGATCTTTTATGGAAAGGCCTTATCTGACAACGCACATATATTTTGCAAAGATAGCAAAACTGGTCTTGCTATGTGAGCGAGAGCGATGTGACTTACCGTTCCCCTAAATAATCTCCTATGACAGTTTTGTTTAAGCCTTCGCCTTTATAGAGGAACTGTGCGATGTCCTCAGGTGTGTGCTGCAGAAGATCATTCTCCAAAAGAAACTGGATTCCCTGCAAGGATGTTTGAGATGTTAACCACTTCACGATGTTTGCTTAGGCTCAACGTAACACATGACCCTGGACATCATTTTATATATGGTATGGTGAACAAAGAAATAGACACAGTAATACTTTTTTAGGATCCATATTGAATTTCTTTCTTCCGACAGCAATCTGCTTGTTCCTCTGAGTGCTTTTGCTGTAATGTGGTGAAAAGCAATAAAGTTCTCTTTTAAAATAACAAACATGAACTAATATTATCTCAATGTTAAACAAATCGTTGTAATCTGTAAAACAAAAAGAAACATACGTCTCTCTGACACACGTTAAATGTTCGATCTCTGTCATGACTTCTGAGATCTCAAACTTTAACCGCTGCAAGAATAACAGAAAAAGTGGTTACTTAAGTTATATCACTGAAGTTAATCAGGTTGATCAATAATCGTTCTTAATATTCTTAAAATGCATGCAGTGTATTATAAAATACATCGTGCAACCAATGACATTCAGCCCCCATCAGGTAGAACTTGTAGCGAAGGGTGACATGATAAATGTCAATCACTTAATATCTTCATGATTTTAAAAGATAACAGCTACATTAAAGCAGATACCTCAATGTCATCTAGCAGCTCTTTTTTCCTCCGTCTAATGTTGGACAGTTCATCTCTCTCTTCAAGTGAGAGATCTTCAGGCACTGTTGAGAAACAAATGTGACATTAAAATGGTTCATCATCTAATAATAATAACCAAGAAAAAAAGAGATTCAACAAGACCTCCAATCATCCAAATCATTTGTTAAAACAGCTATATTCCTGACCTAAACTCAAATCCCAAAGTGCTGTGTAAGACAAAAAAAAAAAAATTACAGAGCACATTTATCTTCATAAATAATGTTATTTAAATAATACAATCTTGGCAACCCAAAACCTAGTACTCAAGAAAGAAGCTTTTCTTTTAGGCTGGAAACTGAGGATGTTATGTAATTCCTTCAGGACACCTACGGTATGACTCTGAATGTTCAAGACAACTTAAATACGAGACTATAAGCTGATCCAACTTTACAACATTAAGGTGCCCAATGAAACACAGAAGGTTACATTAAAGAAAACATGTACTGAACATCACAAACTCCTCTGTGGGTGTTATATAACTCATTTGTAGACGTTTTAGATGCTTAATTAAGTCACAAAGGACCATAATCTCCTGAACTGACTTTATCATTTTTCAAAACTTTCACAAGTAGGAGAGTGTTTTGGATGAGGACCTCAGTTGCTTGTGGCTCAGTGCTAATAAATGTGGACAATATGAGTACATTATGCAATTGCACCTTAGGCCGCACCAGGATTAGACAAGAGACGGGCTAATAAGAGGGACACGGGGGAATTTCCTGCGGTTGTCTGGTTCTGCCTTATGACAATGGAGAGGAAGTTGAGAATGAGTGCATGAATCAGGGTTCAACCTTAACAATAACATTATAGGGTGATTCATTGCAGTCATTCTGAGCTTTTATATTGAGTGCAGTGGTCTTTTTTCAATCTTTTATTATTATATAAAAGCCATACTAAATCTTAATGAGGAGCCATTTGTTCATTACGCAACAGGGTCTGGGTATGGTCAAATGTAACTAGTATGGAATATATAGGGTAAAAATAGAATATTCCTTCAAGATATGAACATTCTGTGCCTCTAACTTGCCTGTGGAATTGGCAAAAATCAGTAGAACAGAAGTAAATTCCCTTCTCATGAAATTAAGCCACAATGGCCTGAGGCTCATCATGAAAATTAGTTTGTCTTCATCAAGACATTGCACTGATTGGCAGTTATTAATATTACCAAGTTGCTTTCCATTTTATTCATATAAACCGTAATGCTTAATTTTTGAAAAAAAGGAAAAATAAGGAACACTAAAAACATCCGTGGCTAGTGATGACCACCACCCTGCACCCTGTCTTGTGGGAAAAAAAGGAATGTTGACTGCATGCAAAACTGTCAGTTCAAAAGCTTCATTCCATCAGCATGAGTGACACTTTGCTTAGAAACTATTACAGCTGCAGAAGGGTCTTTAAATTCAATATAGCCTAAATTAGACAAAATACAAATAAAAACTGAAAATCACATATATATTTGTGGGAAAAGATTAGTTGGATATGTTGACATTCTGGGTGCGAATACAGATATTAAAGGGTTTGCAGCAAGCACTGCATCCTGGTCTCAAACACCCTCTTTAATCTACACACTGGCCTCAATCCCTCTAACTATATCTTATCCTTATTCTCAATAGCTGCATGGGCTGCCAGCTGCTCTAAATCCACAGGCTTACCCATTGATATTAACCACACACTCAGACCAGGGCCCACAACACAGGAAGTCATGATAACATGATAACAGTGCATAAAGCATCTATACAGGCTTATGTGGGCTACTGTATATGTTGGTCTATTGCACATCTTCAGTGCTGAGTTAATGTATCTGTCAATCATGATAATTTATTACAATGATATAGCTGATGATTAGACCTCCAGTACCAAGCTTCAGAGATGATATGGGCCTGGTAGGCATGTTAGATTGTTTTTCTTATACTGTTTTTGACAATGGTACACTTTAATACCCTGTTTTTCAGAAAGAAGGATACTTACATTACTGTTAACCAGACAGACAGATGGAATGGGCAGAGAGCTTATCTCTATTCAAAAGAGAAAAAAGTTGCTTTCTGATCAGTGTGTGATTCTCTTTATCTCTTAAAGCCCCCCTGAATGTGTTTATTCAGGAAATAATAGTATTAGCTAAGAAACAGATGGGATATACCACAACACACCACAACATCTGCTTTTATATTCCCAGTTTTGGGGTGTGTTTTGTTCAAAGGTAACAGTCCACTATTGTAAAACCAACAAACCTGGAGCTTTTTTGTAAGGATTATTCAAAAAAAAAAAAGTACCACCTTTTAATAAAAGTTAAAATGTTTGGGGTGAGTGAGATTTTCTTAATACTTTTATTCAGGAAGGACACATTAAATTTAATTAAAAAAACATTCTATTCATTAAAAAATCCTGAACAAAAGGTATCAGGGTTTACACAAAAATATTCAACACTGATAATAATAACAAATATGTTTTTTAAACACCAAATCAGCATATTAGAATGATTTTAAAGGATCATGTGAAGGATCACACTGAAGACTGGAGTTATGGTTGCTGAAAATTCAGTTTTACCATCACAGGAATAAATTACATTTTAAAATATATTAAAATAGGAAAAAGTAATTTTTAATTGAAATTATATTTCATAATATTACTGTTTTTACTGTGTTTCTGATCAAATAAATGCAGCCTTTTTGAGTATCAGAAACATTTTAAAAAATCTTACCCACTCCAAATATTTGAACAGTAGTGTATAAAAAAATATTTAAAATAATTATATAAAATATTTAAAAATGAAAGATTGCATTTTCAACTATGAAAATATAATAAAGTTAAGCTAATATATATTTATGTTTTATTTTTAAGCATATCTTCAACATACAGGTGACAATGAAAAAAGACTCTCAGGATATTGATATTCCTAACAGAACATAAACACAATATAAAAAGGCACTGTGATTCAACAAGCAAAATGATTCAATTATTAAACATACAGTGATTCAAACTATGTAACAGTGACCAAATTTATCTTCTATTAAATCTATCATATGTAATACCCACATCCCCTTTAATGTCTCTTTCTTTTTGTAAACCTGCAAATGATAAAGAAGTAATGCCCAAGAATGCACGGCTGCTGAATACTGCATTCCTGACATGAAAGAGATGGGGCTCTGGGACGGTCCTGACTCAGTGGGTGGAAAACTGGACAAGGGTCCTTTGTACTAGTGACTGTTGGTTTTTAAATCTCCTGCTGGGACAAAATGTTTTGACAACCCCATCAAAAACCTATTTAGGTTTTTAACTTTCCCTTTCAGATTTTTAAAACAAATATTTGCATTCAACAACGGTAATTCACCCTCCACTCATTCAACACTGTTCAACTGGTGCTAGCTCATAAAATATCTTGGATGACCCTCCAGACTTTCTTCAAATCAATTCCATATGTGACACTTAGACTACAACAAACACACTAAAAGCTCTCTCTCATTCTTCAGTCTCATCCACTCACAATAATAAGGATGTATCCACATGATAAACGTTTGACACCATCTGTAATATTCACAGATTAAACCTCATATCAAAATCGCAATCGGCAGCAAACACAAACATCAAACATCAGTATTCAGAACGGAAAAGTGAAATAAAAACATTACAATGTTTTTGATATAATAACATGGCTGACATTGTCTTGACCTTAAGCAGATTTGCCAGGCACGGTGTCCTTCAGATCTCTGCTGGTGCAGTCACACCATTGATGAGGTTTTGACCACTGCCTGTGTCATGCCTGGTGCCAGACGGCTCCTCAGGGGAGCCTGGACCAGACACCGGTGGCATCAGATGCAGACAATGTTAATGAGTGCCAGGCCTCACTATCTCTCCTTTAATCAGTCTGACAAAGTCTGCCTCTTTGTTGGACCTTAGCTACGGACAAAGCAATGTTTTAAAAATGTGAAAAGGCCATAAATTTGTAGTTCTGATAGAGACTGTTAATAGGGCTTTCCTTGACGTCCTATCAGTCTTTCTTTGCACTCAACCATCTGCCACAGAAACGGAGGGAAAATGGTTTTCCATTTGGTTTTTCCCAAGGTAAGATAAGACAAATAGCCATTGAGTCCAAGGCTTTGAAGTTCTCAGGATCATGATACAAGAGGAACTGGAAAGACCTAGTGAGCTAATGGTACCTCTACAACTCTGTGCTTTCTTGTTCTTGTAGACATTTACAATTGGTCTTTGTCAGATAAAGTGATTACGGCTGTAAATCAACATAGTAATGAAACAGGCTCAAAAGTGCTTGAGATGTCTGGCTTTTAGGTCTGGTTTGTTTGTGTTTTTTTTTTTTTTTTACACTGATATACCAGAACAACTCTCAGAGCATGACAGCCACAAACTAAATCATTACCATCTCCACTGTCTAGTCAGATCCCATATATAGTAACTGTAAGCAGAATCACAGCAGAAAAATCATCACAAAAGAGTCATCTTAAAGCCCACTGGTGCTTATCCATCAAATTTTGTTATCTTTCCAAAATAGTCAACACAATAACCCATGGACCAGAGGGCTATGATCAGTATACTGTTAAGGTACATGCCAAATTTAATATCTAAATACAGAACAAAAGAAATCAAAGAAATCTTCCAGTCCCTTAAAAATTACCATGGAAACCACACACTAGACTAGAACTACAGTTATTTGTTACTATTCTAAAATGAAAATAACCAACAACCATGTTCCTGGAGCTGACCCAACACTGCACTGCTTGCATGTCTCATTTATCAAACACACCTGATTCAGGTAATCAGCTCATTATTAGAGACTCCAAAACCTGAAATAGATGTGGCAGACAAAGGGGACATGCAAAATGTGCAGTGCTGGGGGGCTCCACACTCCAGGAACGTGAACTATGAATGTCGCACAGGATGAATTCCAGTGTCTTGCCAGAAGATGGCATTTGCAGCACACTCATTAAGTGAGCTTTATATTAGTGGAGTGAATAGTACATGAGGGCATAGTAGGCGATTTTTGATACAGGTTAAATGTTTATAAATGAAGCGTACTTAAGTGCAAAATGTAAAACCTGAAGTGTACTTGAAGCTGAGTGATTGAATCAGTAGCCCCTCACTGCAGAACACAAGATCCAGGGGGCGAGGTTGGATCCACATCTAGGGGGTGGAGATTGGTAGGTTTAGGGGTGGAGATGGGTGGGTTTAGGGATCAGGGGGTGGAGACGGGTAGGTTTAGGGATATGTAAGGTGGGAGGAGTTGGATCTGGATCCAACCTCGCCCCCTGGATCTTGTGTTCTGCAGTGAGGACCATCTCCTTTGAATCGGCAGAAGAAATCTCTCGCTCTGCTCCACTCATTTAGGTACTCTACTCCATACCAGATCAGTCTGCGAGTTTCTTCCTGACAATGATCATTGCGGTAGCTTCTTTTGATTTTTATTTATTTATTTACGTATTTATTTTATTATTTTTTTTAAGATATATAAAAAAAAATTTCTGAAACATCAGTTATTTAAAAAAAAACATTACTCTCCCAATTGATGTCTCAACTGAATGTCAGCACTACAGTAGAGAGCTGTATGGCACTCAATTGATACTGTTCAATTCTAAAAGTATAGTATTTTCTAATTAATAAACTGGTAGGCTAATTTATACGGTGCTCTATAAATAGAATCGGCAGAAGAAATCTCTCGCTCTGCTCCACTCATTTAGGTACTCTACTCCATACCAGATCAGTCTGCGAGTTTCTTCCTGACAATGATCATTGCGGTAGCTTCTTTTGATTTTTATTTATTTATTTACGTATTTATTTTATTATTTTTTTAAAGATATATACAATTTTTTTTCTGAAACATCAGTTATTTAAAAAAAAACATTACTCTCCCAATTGATGTCTCAATTGAATGTCAGCACTACAGTAGAGAGCTGTATGGCACTCAGTTGATACTGTTCAATTCTAAAAGTATAGTATTTTCTAATTAATAAACTGGTAGGCTAATTTATACGGTGCTCTATAAATAATACGAGCACTTGACTAGTAATTACATGCCTCATGATCCCTCTTGGCACCACAACTGTACTCATAAACATCTCGCGAGCTACTTCAAAGGATCTCACATCAAACAAATTATGTATATATTTCTTATAATAAGTTCTACTGAATATAAGAGACCTGGAAACAGGTCTAATGAGGTAATATGCAATATCCTGAACTTCATATGCAAGAATGATGTCAGCATTAGGGTGGAGAATCCCAGGTTCCTACAGAGACTGTACAGTGTACAGGAACTTGCCTGTTTTTCCGGACACCACATGTCAGCCAGTATTAGTCAGACTATTTTCCAGGTAAGCTGAGGTCATTATCCCTCCAAAATGTCTAACCTTTTGTGTCATGAATTCCATCTTGAGTGCAATGTGTTTTGCGGCTTTCCGAAGAATCATGCAAAATCCATTCAACAGCTCATGAAAGTCATTGTCCCTTTGAAACAAAAACATCCTCTGATGTTTCACTTCATTTGCATGGATTTAAATGTCCCATTATTGCTTCACAGCAAACAGGTTTTGTATTTTGCTGATGGCATCATTCAGTCAAATAAACGTAGACTCCCTCAGTCCTATGAAACTGAGAGAGTTTTGTCTCTGTGTCTCTAAAACTGACATCTAAAATATTTAAGTGATCCCATCTGAGGATGTTATGTAAGGTATAACTGGATATGAGGAAATCAAAAGAGCAGAATGTAATGTTCTGTGACCGCAGCACACAGCCAGACCCTGTGCGTGAGGGAAAGACTATGAAGTAGGTGCAGGGAAAACAGGGGCTTCAGGGTGGGAATGACATCCTGTGTGGGAAACAGATATCCGCTGAAGCTCAGGAAGAGAATGTTGTTTGCATTTTTCCTTTTTTCGAGGGCAAAAAAACTCTCCCATGAACTTCACTTGTAACACCCAGCTCACTCTTAGACCAAACAAAGATGCATTTGATTCAATAATACAGCTCTGATGCCGAATTGACTAATTAATGTCAATCTCTTGTCAAAACAGCTGACAACAGGTTGTTTGTAGAGAACCTGTTTAGCCAGTCTACAATAGAGTGGAAACCTGGGATCTGTAGATTAGTATGAAACAGAGTTTACTTAAGCAATACATTTTTGCATTGATAAGATGTACGCACCACACCACCAGATAATAGTAATAACCATCCATCCATTCATTCATATGTATATTACAGAGAGAGAGAGAGAGAGAGAGAGCGAGAGATACTCAACTTGCTAAATGTTTAGCATTATATGAAGGAAAGCTATTGAATGAAAACAAAAGAAACAGAGTATAATATATTTAATACTAAAAAAAATTTAATATTGTCCCACTTTTTTTTTTTTTTTTAACAATTTGTTTATTGAGAATTAACAAATTTTGCCAGTATGGTATACAGAAAAAATGGGTTAAATCTCTCTACATATTAATAATACTAAAATAAAAACAACAATTAACATAAAGAAAGGGAAGAAAGAAACAAAGCACAAGTCAGTTCAAAACACCACACAATAAGAGAACTTGGGGATACTAGTCATGCATACCTGGGATACAAATCATAAAACAAAAAGGGGTAATTTAGTAAAAACAGTAAATTAATAAATGACAGACAGCTTAATAATAAATTGTGGCTGAAGGTGATAAAAGAATCAAGTAATTTGATTCTTTGATCTTTCTCCCTCCTTCATTATATTACAAAAATCTGAACATGAAATAAAGGATATAAAGGGTTTCCAAATATTTTCAAATAAAGACACTTTACCTTTCAGAATATAGGTAATCCTTTCCATTGACAAACATGTTGTTGATCCACTGTATAATGGGTGGTTTTTCTACTTTCTTCCCATGCTATTAGACATATTTCAAAAAGTTTCCGAGTGCTGCTATACAATATTCTCAGGAAAAATTCCCAAAATAAACATTTCTGGTTTCGTTGGAAAATTTAAAATACGTTTTTAAGATGGTATCTGTAAATTTTCCTCTCTCCAAAACTCCTGCACCTGTGTACAATCTCACGTACAGTGCAAAATTGTCCCATTTTTTAACTTTTATAGACTGGCAGGTTTAAGAGCAAGACAATGTCACTGCATATCCTCTGCAAGCCACTTGCACATGTTTGCTGGTAGAAGCTGATAGCATAGACAATGGACATAACCTTCATAGATGTTTACATAAAGACCCCACATACAGTGGTGCCAACATTGGCTTTTCATGATAGCATTGGTTTAAATTTTAACATCCACATCATATTGAATGTTGTTCCCTTTGTTATAAGCTTGATTTTGCATTCTGCTGTTTATTACCAGCGTGCGTGCTATGGTAGTATCAAGTATCTTCAAATATTCTGTAATGGTACATAAATACAGTCTCTTTCAGTTGTATATACCATGTACTAAAGTATTACTATTTTAAATCATAACTGCTTTAATACTTTTAGGTTGCTTGTGTAAACAGTATTTACACCTGTATTTTGAGATGTAAAATGTATTTTGAGATTTGTTTACATTGACCAAATTCGGCTGTCGTGACAGTTTTCAACCACATTGGTTTTGTAGTGTACATTCTTTTGCATTCAATTTCTGTATGTTTAAACAATGCTGAAAGTCCATATGCTCAACTCACAAGAGTTTGATATCAACATGGATGATATCAACAGTGACACAGATCATCTAAAGTTACACTAAACAACATTTTTTACAAGCATGTTCTATTTTCTGTGGTGTTTTCAAAAAAGTAGCTCAGTTTGTTTGTAAAAACGTGTCATTTAATTCTCTGCTCCCTCAGCAAAAAAGCATTTTT